GAAGCACGGTTATTTTGAGGATAATCGGATCAGGAATTTTCTAGCTGTAAGAAGCATGACTTCAGCCTGTTGTTTATATTGTCTACGACGAAAACTGGCAAAAACAAAACAATTCGAAAAAACGCAGGAAGAAAAAAAAGAACACCCTACGATAAGATATGTTAATTGGTAATCTGGAGTCGCATATAATTTCATCAAAATAATTCTCAGCTAGAAAGAAAAAAAGAGGAAGTAAAAATATGATAAACCAATTATGAGCAAGGATCGATGACTTAGAATGGACGAGATTACCCCTCATCATTCTCGATATTTTAAAAGTAATTCTCCTTACTGCCTGCTAACCATTTTTTGATAAATTCGGTTCTGAGAATTCAGTGTTAAATTTAATGATAATCCCCTTGTTGATATTTTCCCTTATATTCATTACGTTTCTGCTTGACATTGTATTGATGTTGCAAAGAGGCGAGTTGCAAATGCCTCAGTAAGTTTTAACGTTAGGACTTAAGCTTTTGAAACTGTGCCCTTCAGACATAATTTCTAAATTTCAAAAGCTTCTAGTAAACAGTGAAAGAAATTTCCCCTAACAATTCTGATATGTTTTAAGTTGAACGAGAAGAAAGAAAACTAATCAACCCTACGAGCGCTGGGCTGATTGATTAACCACAAGATTCTACCAATAATGTATTCATTGACAGAGCGGAAGAGCCCAACGGGAAAATATTTGGCAAGCGCAGCATTTTATCATATGACCATTGTTGAAATTTTCGAATATTTTATTTCAACCTAACGAGGACGAACTTGCATGCTAGTGAATGGCGCGCACTGGACAACTACCGAAAAGATTCTACAACAAAAAACTTTTCATTTTTTTTCTTCAATTAGAACAAGAAATTCATAATTTACCGAGAAACGTGACACACTTCTCATTCGTTTCATTTTAAGCTGAAATCCACAATTTCAATTCTCGGAAAATGCAAAAGACAGGAGGACTTTTTCCGGACCACGGCTCACAACAACGCTTCCGGTTTTGCGCTAGTCAGCTTTCACTATGGTTTTCAATGGATCACGCTCGGAATGCTGCTCGGGTCATTTGATAATTAATGTTAAGAAATGTATGACGAAGTGAAAGCGTTTAACGTCATGGAGTAGAAGCAGTAACAATACGGCAATACTGGGTAACTACAAAAGAGGAAAAGTACGTCCGATGATGATCGAGTCGAAAAGTCAAGTTGCACGCTCGCTAGACTCGTGTAGATTACTACTCCTTTTTCAATGTTGAATTTTAGAATCATTTTTTTTTTGAGAGTGATTTGAAAGAACCAAGGTGACAACCTTTCACAATATCATTTGTTTCCATGGCGACTGAATGGAAGGGGCGAGTAGTTATTTTGAAAAAGGTAAGAGAATGAACGGCATAATTTTCTTACTTTCCAATAACACAAAATCTGATAGAAAATGATATGTTTGATATCCTTTTTAGAAGGTTTTGGCATTGAAAACAAGTTAGCATGTTTATGTTTGCTATAGATATCACTGCATGGCAAGAGAAAAAAATGCTTTGAATGGCTGCCAGAAACTTCTATTTTCATCATCTTTTATTGAGTGAGGTATGTTTCAGACAAAACCGCGACATTTTTTGGCCCAACTTTGGCTAATCCCACAGTCTGTGCATTTTGCCTAATTCCATTTTCACCAATGACCTCACAATCCATGATCTCATATTATCATTCTGCTTTCTTCATCATAGCCCGGGCATGTCGTCTTTTCCTTACTTGGTAAATGATAGTAAACCATTTGTATACAGAATAAGATATGACTCTACTTGCTTCTACTTTTAAAATTTTAAATTTCATAGGGCCCCTGATGAAACATCTTTAGAGGATTCAATATGAGTTCTCTTTCGTCGCTGCCAAACATTTCAATGATTCTACAGATGTCCGCAGTTGTGAGAATTACGTGTGTGTTACATATCTATATATCTGTCTGTAGTATACATTTATATATATATGTATATGTATATAATGTTTCCAGACATGTTGGCTTTTCTCGTCATTTTGGCTTTTTCTGCTCAATCGCGGGATAAACTGATTGTTTTAAGGGATAATTCGAAGTTAACTACTTCCGTGACAAGCGCAAGAAATTTAAACCCTTAGAAAACAAAATGATAAATTTAAGCTTGAACCTCAGTTGTTGTTTCTCTTCCGTCCTGCGAGGGGTTTTCATCCAGGTTTTCCGCTTCTAGTCTCCGCAAAAAACCAACACTCCAAGCTCCAATTTGGCATTGCTGTACGTCTGCCTCTAAACAAGTTCTTAAACAATGGTTGGAATTAGTTGGACCAAAAAAGATAAACATTACTTTGCCAAATCACCTTCTGACACAGACTGAGCTATTTTGAAATGGTGCGGTCTGATTTTATAGAAAGTATGTAATCAAAATAGACCGTACCCTGGTAGATTGCCAATTTTAAGTCTTATAGATTCCTATAGTCCCAGATCCCAGACACCAAAGTAAGGATCTCTATTTTGCCGAACAACCCGTGGAAACTAACACGTTTCCTTTATCACGTTCCCTCTAGCTTAGTCCCGAATCGATTCAAGGTATTTTCACCTACAGAAACAAAAAACCGATGATTAATTAAGTCATCTTCTTATCTCTTCTGTTTACGATAAAAAATTGCTGTCAAAATTTATTTCTGTTCAAAGGAAGGCTTGGAGAGGTGATTAGCAAAATTGTGAGCTCTCAAAGCTCTTTTCGTTTCAAAAACAATCCAAATTTATACAAGTGATGGACTTTCATGATATGTAGTGAAAGATTTGATAAGTACCGGGAATTATTTCCATTTTCACTTTAACCTAAGTAAGCTTCTTTATGACCGAATATGCGTCTGCTCACTTGAAAATCGAGTAGACTTAAGATAACTTGTAGACTTTCTCAGCCATTAATTAATAAAACTATTAAACACTACAGCTTCGACGAACAAACTTACCAATTTTCCAAGGAGGCTCTGCACATGACAATTTTTATTAAATGAAATGAGTGAAAAACAAGTTATGAATTAATGTCACACGCTCCTTGAGCAGATGCAACCCCTCTTCAAATAGTGTAACCAATCAGACTTCAAATAGTGTAACCAATCAGACTTCAGAATGGAGACGCACTCAGCCTCAAACACTCTTTACTATGCTACCAGTGGGGTTGAGGCCAATGCCAAGGTTTTTTTTTTTTTTTGGTTTTTTTGGTTTTTTTTTTTGTTTTTTTGTTTTTTGTTTTTGTTTTTTTTTTTTTAATAGACTCCCAGTATAAGTACATCCTGATCAGCACAAAGGTGTAAATTTGCCAAATAAGTAAATTTGAATTTGATGGGGTTAAAAAGAGGGGAGGGGATAACTTCTAACCTCTTTATGAGTTTTACCGCCTGACTCAGTGAAGACTTTTAAATTCAAAATACGCAATCTACTACAGATTACCGTACTAATCTACTAGTTTACCCTGTTTACAGGAGCCGCACGAACCGAAGTGCACAAACCTTAAAGCTGTAATTGTTTGGAAAAGCGTATGAAAAACTAGATCCGTTTTTGCCTCATAAAACGTGTATTCCTTGGAGCTACAGATACTTAAATGAACAGAAGAAGAGACCACATTCCCTCACCCTGCTCCAGTGAGTTGAGGCCCATTGACAAGCTGTCTTTAACGAGCCATATGCGAGGGTTAAAACTAGTTAAACCGCTTCATGATAAGCAAGGTCAAAACAGTTGAAGTGCGGGTACTCGATTGACAACCTTAATCGATCTATTATCTATATTAGCTGTTCACGTGAACTATCACCTCTAAATTCTTTGTGGCTTAAATTTAAAGGACTTTGTTCTGCAAAGAGAAAATTAGTCAAGCTTCATGTTACCTTTATTTTCTCGAATGAGCTTAACTGTTCCTCGCACGTCCAGTTTCCTCCCACTATTGCAAGACCTGTGGAAGAAACGCATCGGTCGCTAAGGAAATGAAAGATCGCGACCTTGCTTGTTTTCTTCCCACATTTCAGGAAGATCATCGGTTCCACTAATTTACCACATGCATTCAAGTACTTTGTTATTGTTTGCGCTGAGATTCCTCCACGTTTCTAAGGTGAACAGGTCGTCTTTCATAGTCAAGCCTCAGCCTACAATGGATTGAAATTTTAACCTATCCCGCTCTGACATAACTGTTAGAGAATCTTTTAATAACACAACCTTAACCTAGCGTTAATATATTTAGAACTGGTCAGCAAATCCGGCGAAAATGAATTGAATGGTTTCACTATAACACCTGTTTTATTGGGAGCACAAAGAGGACAAAGATAAAAAAATGTTTTCAGTTCCAAAGGTTATTTTGCAATTTACTTCTAGCATTTAATCTATCCGCTTCTATTGTTGTCTGGCGTCCAGCCACCATTGTCAATTTAGCTGACCTTGAAACCAAAGATGCAAAGAAAACATTGTTGATTTGACATCATTTAAAGCTAATCACAAAGAAACATATGGTAATTAAAAGCGTAGCGCTTCAATGTCAATGCTTCCATCGTGATTGCGCAAAGGAGATGAAACTAATGACAGATCGAAATTCCAGACGCACTTTGGACCTCACCGAAAGCAAAGAAGTCTCCCTCGCAGCCGTTTTTAGTCTCGTCACGCAACGCTTCTCCCCATACTAAAGGGTTTGTGGGGAGAAGCGTTGCGTGACGAGACTAAAAACGGCTGCGAGGGAGACTAAAAGTAAAGGAGAGGATTTTAAAAGATATAGTTCGAGCTCCAGAGGAGATACAGGAAGGGGGGTCAGCCCCTGTTGGGCTGAATCCGCACTGCCTAATTTCGACACCTTCCTGATGCATGTCACTAAAATCCATGAAAACCCTTAAGAACCCTGTAAGAGGAGCTCTAAGCTGAAATTAAGATTTCTTTGATTCGTACCCGGTTGTAAATTAATCATCTTTACTATGACGATCTTCATTCTTGTACTCGACAAAGACTCGGAAAAGAGCTGTACTTTTATTTTTCATTAAATACTGACACATTTCTAGTTTACAACCAACTAATGCTACTTGTAGTTAGTCCTACTGGAACAGTCCTTATCTCCAGTAGTTACACTGACTTTAAGTCGTTTTCAGAAAACTCGTTCCGCCCTTTACATAACGAGAAACACCACCAAGCCACGTGCTTTGGTATCCGGCTGTATTTCATGATGTGCAACAAAATTGGTTACTTTGTTGATGACGCTTTGAATGTGTCCTGTGGTCTCTTATACTACACAACAGAAGGTTTCGTTGGTAGACTTCCCAAGCTGTTGCTAAGGTCTCGAGAAACAAGCAGGGGAGTTTTTCTCTTGCAACAACCGATCTGGCTACAAGACAACATTAAAGCCAAACAAGTCAAAATTGTCGTAGCTGCGAACAGACCGGCTAAAATGACCAGGTAGAGGCGTGGTATAAAAGGCTCTTCGTGTTCCGTAGGCAAATGTTTGCAATCTTTACCACCACATTTTTGTACACATACCTAGGCGCTACACTTAAAGGAGCATGCTCCTGACAAACACCGCTGATTGCAATAACCGACGTCACGAGTACATTCCATGCGGCAGTCATGACACTCCTGATAGCAAGTCCCAGATGTACACGTCAGCTCCTTGCACTGTGCATTTCCACAGGTCTGGTAACATTCAGCATAATGGATGTCATCTGATGCACACTTGCACGATGTGCTGCTACATCGTTGATTGCACTTGTACGATATCACTGAGCTACAATTTTTTGTGGTTGATGCAATAGAAGAGAGAGACACGACTATGATGAAGAGAGTTCTGATCATATTCTCTCTGAAAATAAGAAGAGAATTATTGATTAAGCTGTGTGTCATAGGATAAGGGATCTAAGAAGTTCACTGACACTCTTTTGAAGGCTTTCGTACTGAACGAACATTTGATCCTCTTTGAAACACCGACTGGGTGCGAAGGACAGACACTATAATTTCACTAGGACTTTGTACTTCAAGCATCTTTCAGCTGGCAGCTCAACAAAGTGATGTTTATCTGGATCGCTTTCATCGATCATACAATATCACGCCCTAACTTTTACAGGGCATTTTCTTTTTAAGTCGCCCGGTACTCCTTACCACGTACCATCGCTGGACCATGAGATGGCGAAATGACACTTAGTTTTTGTACTTAGAGAATTTGATCTTGATGACTTCACTAAAATTTCCCGTCGAGTTTTAAATCATGATGATCACGGTATAAGCTTGCGCAGATGTCGCCCCTGATTTCGAAACAAAAGGAACGCCCACTAAAGATAACCGAATGATCCCTGCATAGGCGGTCAGATCAAATGAACAATTAAAAACACGAATGAAAAACATTTCCTTCTCCTCGTTCAATAACTAGTGCTGCTACATGATCTAACCCTACAGCCCTTCTGCAAAATTTGTTTACCCATACCCGATTCTCGTTTAGATAATTAGATTTCTTAACGACTTCTCCTTAGAGTAATTACCTTCTTTAATTTCAAGGGGTAAACAAAGTATGGAATATCTGCGTGTTGGTTCTGCTAACCTGCCTTTCCTCTAAAGTTCTTCAAAAACAAACCAGTTGCTAACCGAAACGAAAATTTTTTTTCTTTTTGAATAAGACCTCTTCCCAAAGACTCTAAAGTCCTGCGCTAAAAACATAGAAATACTGAATGTTTTTTTACCGGCTTAGAGCATTAATATTTCCCCTCCACGGTTCAAGTTTCGCTGGGAAATTCTCGCTTGAAATGATTGCGCGATATTGCACGATTGGCAACATGAAAGGCAAACTTCCTGTGTTTCGTAACGTCTAGATAACCTTGAACTCAGTGATCAATCAGAATTTCTTGTGTGCTGATGGGATGCGGGGTTTATATTCCCACCCGAAAAAATCATTTAGGCGTGTCTTAACTAGGCAACCCAGGGCGCCTGAACTTCGACAACGGCCTCTTTTTGTGTTCGCAAAAGACCCCAATGAGTTTGACTGTTAAAAAAAAAAAAATATTGGCGTTTGGTCCTAGAAGCTCTGGGTAACAAAATACACGATTTTTTCACCAGGTGCGACGACTGACCCACCCGTCCTTCGCAGCCGTTGTTTGGGCTCGTCACGCAACGCTCCCTCCCCCACCACCGGTTGGTGGGGGAGGGAGCGTTGCGTGACGAGCCCAAACAACGGCTGCGAAGGAGACTACACCCGTCCCTGTAATTGAAAAATGACCGTACTTTTCCCCCGTCCCCCGCCTTCGAGCTAAGACAAATTCTCTCAATTCATTTGATCTCTGTATTTTTGGTGAAAACATCCTCCTAAGAAAACAACACATGTACACAAACTGTACATGAATATTAACCTATGGTACAAGTCGCAGTGCGAAAGACATTTGTCTCCTGGTTTACAGTAGTAGGGGCTTCCTATTTATTTTGCCTTCGGGCTGATGATTCCTCAACTTTTTTTTTCTCTTATTAAAATTAAATGGACGGCGCAGCTCGAATACATAAAAGTTACGCCGCCTCACGCAAAAAAAATAGTCATACATCATGTTAACTTGGCCGAAAACAGCAAGTTCAGGAAATCACGATCAAATCTCCGAGTGATCGCATTAAAAAAATATAACACATATTAGGAAGCCAACCGTTCGTGTTTTTGAAACCTAAGATAAAAAGGCAAAGAGCGAAGAGCAACAAAAAATCCGCTGAGTTCGAAGAAGTTTGTACTCCAAGGGGAACGCACGATTCGTGGCCTGAATCTCAACTTTTGCGTTTTGCTTTGACATGAAGATTACCTTGACCGAGAACAAAGCCCTTTACCGAGAACATAGTTGAAAGACAACCTAATGTCTATCTATTGTTGCGGTTTGAATTTTTTCGGAACAATAGTCCTTCATTACAATGGTCTAGTTGTCGCCGGGGCTCTTATCGTGTATTTTCTGAATATACCAATGGTCTTGATGGAATATTACTAGCAATATAGCCCACAGATTTAAATACCTTAGTAAGAAAAAAACAGCAAGACAGTATTCCTCAAAACATGCAAAACTTCACAGCATGCTGCAGTAAGGACCACGTCGGTACACTTCACTTGTTTTGACAAAAAAAGAACGAACAAAGCCCTTTGTCAGATGTTAAGGGAGTAAGCGCGCAAGGAATCTTGTAACGTGAGCGCTCTCCACTTTGACAAGTGTCAAATATACCAATCTGTTGTTGTCGTTGTAGCAATCGATGATTCAGGAGTGATTGAAATGAACTAAAAAATCAAAGCTAGCCGAACTCATTCCATGCTTCGCGAAGATAAAATCACCGGAACCCGTCTCCGAGACTTGGTCTTTTTGGCGTTCACGTATGGCCTTGTCCTCTGGGAAGATAGGCAGAGCGCCAAGAGAAATGTTGATGATGAACCCGCTTGCATAAGGTCACGGCTCACCTTTTAGCACTTTCATTCATTATTACGAAATTTGAAATGCACCCGCTTAGCATTCTTTCCTCCAAAACAGCCCCTTTTTTTAATCTTTAATAAGTATACTCCTAAGACAGCAAAAAGAACTATATGAAACTGTGTATGAAAACGTGAAAATGAGCTCACCAACCTAAAGGGTCTGAGTTAAATGCGCGCGCACCAACAGATTAAAATCAAAATGAAAACAGACAAGTACCACTTCATAAATTGTTGGCGATATACAGGAAATACTACGGAGAACAAAAGATAGATCCAGCAACCTCAAAGAACTCCAAATCACTGAACGATTAAATCTTTCAGGTTGGAAAACAAAATTCAAAATAAACAGGACACTTGCATAGCCCGAAAGTAGGTGAATATTTCATGACTGTAAAGAGTTGTTTTTTTTTTTTCGAACCGGGCTTAGATCGATTTCTTGGAGAAGGTAGAAATATCTTTTAATCTTTTGGAATGACAAAAAAGTATCGCAATGACAAAATTTGTTTTGCAAATAAGAATTTTGTTAGCCAAGTAAAGTGTCTTCAACATTTTCATTCCTCTTAACCCTTTCGCTCCCAAGATTTCTTAAGTAATTCTCCTTAATCTCTGCCATACAATTCTCTTGATATAAGTTTGGAGAATTTGGATTTGGATCTACAAATAACCCCCTAATCGATATTTTTCTTTATTCTCATCTTTTGTCCGCTTGATATTTAATCAGATGTTGTAAGGAGAAATTCTGTCTTGGTCAGTCACGGGAATTAAAATGTCAAACTGAAGTTCTCTAACATTTAACCTGTTTTTTAAGCACGAAGCCCATGGAGTACGCGAAAAATTCAGGAAGTGAAATAAAACGTTACTTTCAGTCACCCAGGCCAGCAACAATCACTTCGTCATGAAGAAAACCTCGTAGTGATGCATACGACTGTCTATGTTCAAAGGCGAGGAATATTGCCAAAGAGAATAGCACATCCATTAATGTTACTGGCAGCACTGAGCGATTCTTTCTGCTAAAATACATTTACGGTTATTTCGTAATCTGTAGACAAGGACGTATGGAGAACATCAATCTTTTACATCACCAATAAACACCTACATTTTTTCATCGAATTGGACGAAAATTCAAACCATGTTGTTTCAACTTACCATCTGTGCCCCAAACCAGTCCCACGTATTTCAATTCTTTCGACAAAATTTCTTTGTGGTTGCGACTTGCGCTTACAATACAGAATGCAACTTCCTTCCAGGCTCAGATATTTTTCGCCTGAGGATTTTAAAGGCTTCCAAAAGAGTGAACGTTTAATTGTCATAGCCACTAAACGTGCTACATTTTAAAGCACGTACTCTTGAACAATCGATCTGTGACGTCAGAAGCCAAAGGGGGTCAGATTGTTCTGAAGATAATATTCCTGATAGTTCCGCCGATTACTGTTCGCTCAGAGTTCAGTGTTGCTATGTCGATATAATGACGATTCCACCATTTGACAGTCTAATGAAAATCAATTTTCAGCGATTTGCTCAACTGTGTAATGATAGGATGTTGCGAACTGATGAGGTGTGGAAGATCAAAGCCTCTAGAACATGTGTTTCACTTGAGCGCGTGAGCGTAACTGATCTAAAATCGCTTTCATGAAAGTAACCAATCACCTACGAGCACTTACTTACCTATTCCGTGTTTCTTCTTCCCATCTTTAACTGATAAATATCCAGTCTCTCTCCAGAGTTAGACTCAATGCCTCAAGAAGGAAGGATGTGATACTTTACAGGTATGCTTCTCGAACAGAATAAATCAGACAAATGTCACTCAAAATATCTGTTCGTAAGAAAATACATGATTGTAGATTACTGAGGACAAGTATTGACTAGCACTCCCCACTAAGGAAGACTTCTATGAGATAATATAATTTCAACCGCAAGGTGATAGGGAGATATTTTTTTTAAATTGAACATCAAATTCTTTGAACTAAAATTAAAAGAAATGTAACGCAGACAGCACAGAGAATTGATATAAAGACCATTGGAGTGAAAGAGACGGATAAGCAACGACGAATCCGGAACCTGGCAGTCAGATGTTATTCGCGTCATCTCTTACGTTATTATTATTATTATTTTCTTTTTTTTTTTTTTTCTTTTACGTAGGTTACACATTTAAGCTGATTGTCAAGGTGCATCAAAAGTTTTCCGGTTCGTGGTTGAGAAACGTTCAATGTTTGCGATTACAAAGCACGCAATCATCGGTGTTGTCGCGAGTCTGGTCCATGAAAAAGCGTAATGTTGAAAAGGAGAAATTTCTCTAAAGTCAATACATGCCGAATTTCGGCTAACAAGGGTGTTCCCAACTTATTGTTCAGGTTGACATGTCTTCCAAAGAATGCCTTCTTCCTTCCTTTAAGCAGTACACGGGACTGTTTTCAAATGGATTACTTGTATAAGATTTATGGGCTTACGGTTTAAATTAGATATTAGATGTGACAACGCCCATTCACAAGCAATTGTTTCACTGGCTGTCGAATATAAATGGTATCATCCTGCGCTATAAATGTCCCCGAGACCTCTCATTATATCCTAAATAGGCCACAAAGAGTAATCAGGAACACTAATGCTCTGCCTTGAGCTATCGACGCCTTGCTATGTGATTCGCCGATGTAATCACAAATTCCTTTAAAACATTGTCTTCTACACTGCTTAGCAGAACACTTCATCTTACAGACTCCTCCCAGGCACATCTGATCACACTTGTCCACCTCCCTTGTGCACTCCATCGTACAGTTTGCACAAACCTGGTTGCATAGGGGTGACGAGCACATGATCTGATTACACCGAGCTTTCCATGCGCATAACTGTGAGCAGAACTTACTTGATCCACACTTCATATTACAGTCGCCAAAAAAACACTTCTGCGCACAAGTGTTTCTCCCTAAACGAAAAAAATAGAGGACAATGCTTTATTTTCAGCTTTAACCTTTTGAATCCTAAGAATGATTATCATCTTATTTCTCCTTTCTCCTTTTCTCCTTTCAATATCACACCTGAATCTCAAACACTAAGGTCACAAGAATAAAGAAAATGATCACTACTTAAAAAGGCTCTTTGATTGTTAAACAAATTCTCCTTGACAGCACTTTAAGAATTGTACAGAGAACAGTATAGAGAAGACGCATACTGATACTAAATCTTAATTCTCCGCACTATCTACCACACATTTCTAATAATTTTGGTACTGAGAGTTTGGTTTTGAATCAAACAATATTCCCTAGTTGATTTTTTTTTTCCTTCTCGTCGCCTTTCTCCTTTGAATGAATTGATATTTTTAATAGATTTTATTTGTTGGGAGAACACATTTAGCTTACCAGAACAATCCATCGCGGGACACGAAGAAAGAAAATGACACTTTTGAGAGCAGCTGGAGAAAGAAGTTGTGTCCACCATGTTGCATGTGCACTTGTTGAAGTAGCATGTCTTCTGGCATAGATGTTGATTAATGTGACCTCCAGCACATGTTTCCTCAGCTCGTGAAAACGTTGCAAACATTGTCACCAGTACCACTAATAATGCTTCAGCTGTTACGACTTTCTCCAACATTCTGTCAAAGCAAAAAAAAAAAATAGTTTTGCGGTTATCAATAATTTAGAATAACTGTTAGATAATTGCAGCGATGTTTGCTCTCTTACTGGTCGTGAATTACGTCTCGTTTTATCTTTTACTCCCAAAGATTGAAAACAAATTCTCTGCTCTGTCAGCAACACATTTCTTGTAAATTTAGCTCTGAGAATGTGGTGTTAAATCAACCAATATCTCATTTTCATTCCATGCAATTAATTAACGGCCATTAAAATCGACCGGACTAAAGATAATATTTAATGATATTGCGTTTCCACAGCATGGGTCTGCAGTTAAATTGTGATATCAAAATAAGAAATTATGTCATGCGTTGGGAAATGCTTCTTCTCTTGTATCACTAAATACTAAATCAAAGCCGGGAAAACAGCTTTAAAACCGACAACAATGGTTACGCAATCCTTACTTCCTATTGTTGTTGGTCTTAAACCAGAAGTTATCACTACAGAGAGAATATGACGATTTCTGATTGTGTTCCTTAAGACGTAAATTAAAATCTATTCAGCATAAGGTGCCATTCGTGACTCCTGCTGTTTTGAAAAGCAATTACGCTCTCCACTTTCTCGGTGGTGTTTAATAATTAAGAACTGAAAGGGTTGCTTAGCGGAGAGATAACACTGTGTAAGGTAAATAAAAGTAAGCGGAAATCCATATTAAAATAAGAAAAAACAAAAAGCTCATAAACTGGTAATACAGACTATAAGATGCTTTTAATCAAAATTAAACAGAAAAGGATTGAAAAGGAAGGCAACCTGGTCACGAAGCAAAAGGCGGCAGCAAAAAACATTCTTATTTAAATCTCCTACATTCGCATATTAAGATTAAAAAAAAGAACCCTGATGATGCAGCATTTTTCAAGCATCCGCTTTCCTTTCAAAATATCTAAGAGCGCAAATACAGTAAGATTCTGTTTGTTTCCCGTTCGGCCGTATGAAAAACAAACATACATCTATACAAACATAAACATAAATACAGCGAGGAACCAGCATGCTGCGTACTCATTCGACCGCACTTCTCTAAACGCCACATTTCTCACCACGAAACTGAGTCTTGAAATATATCTCACAAAATAAAATTTTTTCTGTAAATATTAGCTTTAATCTTTATTATATAGCATTCGCAATCTTTAAAAATGCACCTTAGATAATATTCTGAGTTGTGACAGCATTTCTCTCACATACGATGACTACATGAACATAACTGATAAACACTGACACGATTTTACTCACATGTTGTACTATTTGTTGCTTCAGATTTCCACTGCTTTTGCAATCCTCGGGATTTTTCCGCCCGCGTTTACTTCATTTAAGAAAGAAAGAAATTTGATTTGGGGAAAGCGGAGCGCAAAAATCTACCTTTCTCGTTTAACTGTCATGAGAAGTCAGAGGGTGAAATTTCTAGAAATTACATCCTAAAAGCTTAATTTGTATATTCGTATACCTCACGACCAACAATAAATTAGAAAACTGATAAATTATTTAACAAGGATGACTTTCATCAAAACTTCCACAAGATTCGATTAATGATAAAGCTTCCATTGGTTTTATAAATTATTTTATCTCTTTAATCAAATTCCTTGTGGTGTAATCGATGAAGTCTCACCTAAAACACGGAGTTTTAAGAGACTTGTACTAGCAGGAGACTCAACCTACTCGCTGTTTTTGTTATTCTGACGGAGATTTATGCATTTGATGACCACAGGAGACGTATATCTGGGTTCCGCAGAATGCCTGCTTATAAATTGAGCTTGGAAAAATAATGAGAACGGCCTCTCGAGTTTACAACCTCCAGAAAAAACGAACCAGTGATGGGCTTAATTACTGACATTATAAAAGGATTGGTGATATCGCCGTCTCGGTTATTAATTACAGATTAATTTTTCGCTGGGTTTCCATTTCATTCGTGATAAATTCGTAACAGCATTTTGACCTTTCATTATGCCTTTCGAACTCAGCGTTTGCAAATTCTTTAAGTACCTTTCTGCTTTTATCTCTGACTCACGGAAACATACTAAGTACTTTCATTATAAACGACAATGCACTAGTTTGTTTTCGTAATCACTTCGAGCCGGAGAGGGCATGTGCGTAGCTTACGAGCAAGCTTCATTAGAGCAGTGGCAAGAGCGGGAAATTCGTCGACGAGTAGCGAGCGAGAGAGTATCCATAAAGTTTTCCGACAATTATGACGCTGTAGTGAGATAATAATCCCCAAATGTAATTATGTAAGATACCGTTAACCTTGACAGCGCTGAAAAAGAGTCCTGGTTTCAGTTATTTCCTGAAAAAGGCAGTTTGAAAAATTTACCTTTAGGGTTTCCAAGTGGAAGCATTCGCTGTATAACTTATTATTTTAAGGTGGCTCGTACCGGTTTTCATCTTTTTGATGGTTTGTAACTTTGAAAGAATACAACAGAAAGACTGACCAAGGCCAGTTGAACACTTTTACGGGGTTGAATTACATAATCATTGGTTATCCA